GCATCAACCCTTACCATAACAAATATCTTAAATGGACTTGTTCATTTTTCAATTTGGATTAAACCATTTATCAGTTTTAGCAAAAATCTCAATTTATCAGTTTTAGCAAAAATCTCAAAATATATACTGGCTGAATAGCACAAAATGTAGATGGTGATCAGAGGTGATCAGACGGCATAGCTGTGCAAGCCAATCTTTGCACTGGTTGCGCCAGTGTTTGAAATTAGCAGTAGTCCTATAGCCCCTGACTACTAATTTTCTCCTCGGACTACCAACATACAGTACAACCCTACCAGCCTAAAAAATTTAAAGACGCATATTATTAAACCCAAATGTTTTGAAAAATCAAATCATCATAAAATACTTTCTGGCTAGTGAATAGTCCAAAATGTAGTAAGGTGATCAAAGCCGAAATTTCCTAACTTTGCCATTATGGTAAATTTGGTCGCAGTTGGAAGAATAAAGATAGATACAAAGGGTCCAAGGTTGTAAAGAAATTTTCTTATGCAGGTCTTTGATTGGTAACAAACTGGCACAAAATGTGCACTGTCCAGTAAAAATTCCCGAAATTGGAAAACAAATCTCTGTAACAACTTAAACAAGTTATATTATCTTGAAGCCAGTTTCAAGTGCAGCCTTACTATGAATCTAACCAGTATACTGAATCTAACCAGTATACCACGGCTTTCGTTAGTGGAAGTTTGTGAGTCATTTACTCCTGATTTTGGCTTGTGACTTACAAAATGTAATGCTTTTCCTTCTTTACTTAAATTACTAGTCTATGCCATAAAAATTTAATACATAAAATACTATAACTTCATCCCTACGATAAACCAGCTGTCAAGTTGATTGGAGATATGTTTATGAATGAAACTTGAGATTGATCTTCATTATATCACCGCATGATCCCTGTCTTCATGTAGTCACCCATGAATTTGTCTTTACAAAAAACTACAGAGGAGGTCTAATCTGTGTATACATATGTGTAACTGTATATATATGAAATAAGGATCTTAAGTATTATTATATGAAAAGTTAAAAAAAAAATTCTCAAAATTAGAAAATAATATTACAATTTAGCTGATTTTATTAGCATGCTGCATGTATATAATAAAGAGCAAACATTTTTTCTTACTTAGAGGAAACTGAGTGAATGCTAGTTAATGATATTTTTGGCACTGAAATTGTTTTATTACATGCACAATATAGTATTCCAGCATGTACATTGTAAATGAATTCTTTCAAGTTATATTAATTTTGTATTAATGAATTTTCATCAACCATATTCATGACTTACATGATAAGTTACAACAGTGTTGCTGGAAATAATAGTTACACATTATGTCTTGGTCATTGAATTGGTCAACTACAACAAATTTTTCAACAACTAGAAGAATCCAAATGAAGTGCGTTTAAAAGTCCATTGTATCCGTTCTGTTCAAACACCCTTCAAATCTTGACAATTTTATAAAATAAAGAGTAAACAAATTATGTCGAATAAGCCAATACACTCCAAACTTGACTAACACAAAGATCTGTCTTAGGTTTGAGAAATGGGGTTTCAACAAAATGTAATTTCAAAAATGTTGCCGAGGAATAAAAGAAAACATTTAGAAATTAACAACAAAAACCTATAATATAAAATAGTGATTCATTAAATTGAATATTTGCCCAAAACTTCTAGAATATGAAATAAAAGTCAATGATCTCTACCTTTGTTTGCAGAGGCAGATGTGTCTAATACATTAGCACAAAGTGTATAAACTTTTCATGTAATAATGCCCAAATAGATATCTGCTTATTTCTCTTTACATCTTTTAATATATCCAATGAACGACAGTTACATCAAACAGCTGGCAATATTCCATTTGAAATAAAACAGTGTGTTTTCTGCACACAAGAGTATAAATCAGAACAAAATTGCACACAGACTGATGATTAGTAAAAATATTTCACATAACACATTCTAATATACTTTTATACATAGGTATTCCAAGTATTAATAATATATAAACTATAAAGTAGCATTTTCTTTAAACTAATGCTTTCCAATATCACACAAGCAATTTTACAAGTAATTATATTGATCGGCCTGTCTGCAAGAAGTGTGGGCCAATAGTCAATAACATCCCATCTTCCTGTCTCACCCTTTTATCAATACTGAAAAATTTAAAAATTACCAAAGGGAAACAACTCTAGCAACATGTGATTATGATTAAAAAGTTAAAGTTGTTACACTTCCTTATAGTTAAAGCAGTTTAATTTCATTATGTTTGTTTGCAAAGGTCAAACCCTCAAAAACATCAAGAGAAACTATTTCTGCATGGCTTTTGTAGATAAATGTAGATAAATTTGTATACAATGTGGTCATTTCGTTGGGTATTTTCTTTTCTTGGTTTCAACTGATCATCATTTTTTTAAGATCAAAATATAAATGAGTTAAAATCAGAACAATCTTCTACCAATTAACATAAGTTATTTACAAATTATACATATAAATAAAATTGTCCTGAAAATTTTTCAGGACAATTTTATTTATTTACAGTTATATGGGATAAAAGTTGGAAAAAAATGAGTTATTCAAATCCAAAGGTCCTTAAAACATTCCACCCAAATAACGCAGGGAATTCCCCAGGCGCTTTTAGCGCATCGGCACCGATGCGCTAAAATTTCAGAACAAGAAATCCCGATGCGCTTAAAATTATCATAGCGCTTTAAAAAATGACCGATATCCCTTTCTTTTGTGTCTATAAGTTAACCCCAATTAGCCAAATAAACAAGCCAATATACATGTCCTGTGTAGATAATTACCCGAGGCGTATACACAACCCGATACACTGATTGCCTTTAGACTGTGTGACGTCACAGACACCTGTCATCGATGTCTGCAGACGACTGTTGGTGCACTTTCAGGTGTTGTCAATTACCGTGTATTGAGATGGGTGCAATTTAACCGCGGCATGTGTGATATTTACATGTTTCAGGTAGGTGTAATAACTTTTATTGCTTTGATAATATAATTGGCATTAATTGACATGCGATATAACAGTTTGATATTTTGGGATGAATGGGTTAATTGTCTTGATATAAGTGTAATGTTCAATTTTCATCTATCACTTTCTTATGATCGTTACGTTTAAGCAGTACTGTAGTAATAGTATTAAGATTTCAAAAAATAATATGTCTAACATGAATAAGGGAAGCCAAGTTCACTATCAATTTTAAGAGTTTTTTTTTTGTGAGCAATGTCGTTGAAACTGTCTCAGGATCATTTTCGCTTTTTTTTTTTTTTTTAATCTTTGCTTAAACTGCATAGATATTCAGAAATAAATTTGGTTGATGGCTACTTTAACATTGAAAACATTTACGACTGTTCATTATCAACTTGCAAATGAGTGAAAACAACAACAAAAACTTTACATCAACAATCCCACTTAGTGACAGCCAATTGGTCATTTTCTTTTTTAATTAAAAATGTCTTGTAATCTGTTTCTGTTCAGTGAATCCCCAAAATGAAAAAAATATTAACTTTGCAGGCCCTCTTTAATCGAGCCTGTTCATGGACAGCTTTGTGAAGTGCAATCTACTGTCCTACCCTTTAGCATTGGTTTGTCAGGACATACAGGAGGGCCAGGCACTTTGGTGTAGATATGGAGCAGTGCCGCAGCCACTGGCACCAGGTACGCGCCAGTCTAGAGGGGACTGATCAGTCAGCCGACCAGACCATGACCTGGATTACTGGCAACCTTTCTACCAGTCATCCAGCTCTTTACAGAATTGCTGCTGTAGGTATCCTCCTCCCAACCTCTACTGCAGGTAAGCATTATTAAATTCATTCATTCTTGAACATTAATGAAATCCAATGACAGTTGCAGATGTGTAACACTTTGCTAGAAGTTTTTCAACATTTCAAATATAATTTTTTTACTTAGTTGAGTTTAAACAGGCTGGAAGTTTTAAATTTTCAAATCAAACAAACAATATAAATAAAAGACATGAGGTTAACATAAATGATTACTTTTATGTATTAATTTCAGATTTTGAGCGAGGATTCAGCTGCCTGAAGAGTGAAAACAGGAATTGTCTCTCTTAAAGTTCTAAACTATCTTCTTGCCGTCTCCCTTTAAGGACCCCCATTAGAATCTTTCAACTTTGAGAAGGCAGTCAAGGCATGGAATGACAACAAACCTAGAAGACAGGCCCACTTTTAATGATGTTAATGAAGAAAAAACAACTGAAATATACTCATTTAAATGGGACACACACATACATATAAATGTTGATCACATGTTGTGAACTTGTGTTTATATATAATTGTTTATTTATTTGAATAGTTGGAAATGGAAAAAGTAAATAATAAAAATTAAGAAAATGTTTATCAAGTGAAAAGCTTTCATTATTTGTTTTAAAACAGCCCACAGCAGTATCTTGACACCTTAAATGGCAAAAATTTTCGACACGCGGTATGGGGGTCAAGACCCCCTCCCGCACCCACCCCCGTCTTATTAAAAAAATGTAGCGCTTAAAAAAATTCCTGGGGAATTCCCTGTAACGCAAATATATACTTCCAAATATTATATATAGAATAAGTTAACTGTTGTTATATCAAAAACGTTTACATTGTGATGGCAGTGACCCTATACTAAGTAATTATATTTAGGAGAAATAAGATACTGAATTGTATTTTATTGGAAGAAATGCTATTAAAGTATGCCAGCTCGGAAATTTACAATATAAGACAGTGGCCTGTGGGTCTGGTAAATTTATGTAAAAAAAAAAGTGTTAACTTAAGTACCAACATTAGGTAGGCTTAATTAAAATCTATGTCACTAAGTGGTCTTCTTTATATTGAAAGTTTGTTCCGTATTCACTGAGAGATTTGTTATTGAGGGCAATAAGGCTACATCATACAGCATTTATCCTACCTGGTGTCTTGGCTATTGTTTTCTTCTTTTTTTTTCAAATCAAAAAATCTTAATGAATGGATTTTTCTTTTTTTGCAGATTTGACAGATTATTTTTCCCTGACTTGCACTGTATTGGATTTGTTTTCTGTTGGCTAGTCAGGTAAATATAGATGATTTCTTTTCTTATAATTCAGTCATCATTAAGAGCAGACATACATGTACTACACTGACATAGTTTTTAGGCCCTGGTACAGTTTTCATGTTTTGGCGGTCTAAGACTTAATACTCAAAACTCTGGAAATTTCACCTGACATGTTATTTAATAGGAAAATTAATTTGACCTGCTTACCAATTAGTCTCAATATTTATACTGCTAGACTGACCAATTTTACAAACTGATATCACAGAGATGTAGGCCTTTAGTCTCAATATTTATACTGCACGATGGTCATATATTACATAACTGTCAGCCTTTTCGCAAAGGGCAAACATTGTCTATATAATAAAAAGACCTGGCGCAGTGGCGCACAATTTGTTGGGCCACTTAACAATTATGAATTTGAATATATGAATTAACTTTCACCAGAAATGTCTACGGGTCCAACAATCTTTTAGACTAACTGGTATTAGTATGGGTTATCATCAACTGATATAGATATTAATATTTTACAAGAAAATGGTGTTCATAATTTTTTTGACTATGAAATAAACTGCAATTGTTTAAAATGTTTCAAAAGATCACATAGTCAAATTAGCTTTAAATATAATTTTAATTTTACATACATTTTAAAAATCATTTATATTTAAACATTATAGTCAACAATAACACCTGACAAACTGTATCCTTCATCTAGTTCAATAACTCACAAGGTAAACTCACTCGGAGTGAATCATAAATTTTATCAATATAATCGAAACTAGATACAATTACACAGAATAATGTAATCACCTATTATCGTAACTTAAGAATACTTCAGTTTTTTAAACATAGAACACGCAGTGATGTATTTTAAAGATCTGTACCCTTAAACTGAAAACATTCCATCAAATTTATGTGATGATTATCAACTGTTGCAGAACTGTTTCCGCCATTTTGAAAATCTTACTTACGGGGAAGGGAAATTTGAGATAAATCTAAAACACAATTCCTATGAAATTCCACTATATTACACTCCACTTACTTAATAATTATATGCAATAATCTTCAGGAAGTCTTGTGTTATTCCAGGGTAGAAATCTCATACAAATTTCACCGGCATTGACTGCGGATGTTTTGGACACCGACGCTATCCGAATATGTTTAATTTTCTAAAAATAGACATAAATTATTCAGACCGAAGATTTTCACATATCAATGGAGTTTCAACTATTTAATCAATTACAAACACAAATATTTTATTATTGTATAATTTTTCATTGATGTATTTTGGATAAACTTTCATTCTTGCAAAAACAGCTTTGTTTCATTATGTACTACTTTTTGTAGTAAAAAACGCAAAACGAACAGCGTAGTGATACATTACGTCAGAGAAATTAGTTATCTTCGACAGGTACGGAGGGCAATAATTGCCATAAAAGCGAGGTATTGTCGACGACCAAACGATACTTAATATTTTATTTTCTAAAAACAACGCAACTTTTCTGACTCATACTACAGACTGGATATTTATATATTTCGAAAGATGAGGTCATATTTACTGACAATGCGTGACTACCTCGCAAAGTACATGTACAGACTGGCTGTTTATTTCACAAGATCATCACTGCAGTCAACAAGAAAGTCACAAACATAGTCATATATGATTTATTTTATTGTCACATCAGTGTTGTTTGTGTCGTGTTGCAGCTGTAAACTACTCCCCTTACGTTCTTTTAGACATGTTTTCGTAGGCCTAGCTCTATTTCCAATCTTTTACCTCTTGGACGATTCAAATGTTTGTACTTTAACATTTTAACAACCTTAGGTTATTTTGCCCGCTTTTTATGACAACCATCTATGAAAAAAAAAACATTGTAAAATGTTGAAATTAGAAACACACGCAGATGTGTTCATACGGCGGTGATAATTAAATCTTTAATGTGACACTAGATATCATGTCATTATTCAGAGATTTTAATCACTGCTGCATATCACAGGCATATGTCAAAAGGCAAATTAATCGGAACACCTCGACGATTATTCATAATAATATCGGACTTAATACGGATTGAAAGTAGTTCTATCATGAAGTTGATGTAAACAAAAACAGAGAGTGTAATAATTATGTGCATATGTATAACGAATGCACAATGTATACATTTGACATCCGAGGCAAATAAAGTCTATTTAAATTATGATTGAAAAACATGTCTAACAATTATAATCATTTTAAAAGCGTCTACTGATTAAGAAAATTAATTATAACCAAATCCGAATTAAAGTAAACTGTTGAACAGATTAAAGCATTTTGTACTTTTATGTTCTAAAACCATAATAATAAGTATATAAATAATGTACTGTTTATTTTATATCTATAAAGTTGCTTAATAAATGTGAACTTTTACAGCATTCTTTTCTTGCTGATAATACGTCGCTTTTTATTTCAAAGCACACTAATTTGTCACATGCGGATATGTTCTTTAATTCTAAATTAAATTTGTACTGCTTTTCAAACCAAAGTTTAACTTATGCCGGTGATATGGGGCCTCGACAGTAACTTGACTTTACCATTGTCGACCACATGCAATTATTCTAACAAATAAGTCTTATAAGGCAAAGCAACTAATTATTTATACAGACGATTTAAAGCACCGGTATAACTTTATTTATTTCAGAAACTAGAGAATCGATAATCAGACAGTTTTAACATAACTTCGTCTAAAGGACACACCTTACCAAACAAAGATAAACAGGAAGAGATGCACTAGCAACACAGAAAAACAGCCCAGCAGACCACCTAACCAAACCAGACTAGGACACAAGGGCGAATAACGGATTAAAACAATGCAATATAGGAAATCATATAAAAGAGAAAACGGAATTCCCAAAGAACATTCAAAACGGCAAAATTGAAAATGTTGCAGGCTCAGTTTGATTGAGCTATTCATAGATGGTAGTGTTTATTGCAATTTACCATCCACGTCCCCTAGCACCGGCTTAATCAGAATTCACTTTTTAAACATGGATACATGCTTCCGAGGGGTCGCTTATTTTTATTATTATTATTTTAACATGATAACAATAAAAAAATTTGAAATGAAAAGCTGGCATACATCGTTTATAATATACATGTATACAAATCAAAAATGTAATGTAAAGGAAATAATCTTATTCTTCTCCAGATTAATTAATTGTGTGCTTCTGCATGTGTTCACACAGCGGCTGTTAACCTTAAGTATAATATCTTTGTCCACTAATGAATATTATTTTTTTTTAATTTCTCATCCTGGAAATGATACTTCCATAAATGTTGAAAATGTGCCCAAAAGAAATATTGTAAATACAGTAAAATGCTTAAAGAAATGACATAGAACGAACCAGGAACGTTCTAGGAGAGCATATCGCCCGGACCCACGCCCCATGCATCATTTCAAATGCATTTAAGTCTGGCTTTGTCCGTATATTCACACTATGTGTGCTATATCACACCGTATTACCAGCGAGAGTAATGAACGATTGCTGCAGTGATTACAGAAATTTAAAATTTACTGAATACTACAGGTAAATTATAAACATTATAAACTTATATAAGGTCAATTTATTATTGCTATATACTTACAGTCCATTGACTGGAGAAAAAACTATACGGTAATTTTGGACTCGAAACGACGTTTCCCCATTTCGTAATTATTATATATTCAGCGGGGTTAAGTCGATTGGTCTACAATGGGCACATTGATAATAATTTTAATAAGAATTTCAAATTGTAGATTAAAACGATAGACTAAGAAAAGTATCTTTTTGGTATTCCTATAAAAGATTTCTTGCAAAAAAGTTGATATAGTAATTTGTGATCAAAGTGGTAAACCACACTAAGTGAAATTACAAATTATATACAAAATTATGCAAATAAAACAATTTTCAAACATCGAAGAATATGTAAAATATGTACTGCAAATATTTGTGCATATTATATGTAATCATTAAAATATATGCATTCATTTCTTATTGTAAAATTTGACTTAAACTTTAAAGAAAATAAATTTTTATTACCTCCCTTTATTTACATGAAATGTTAAATTCGGTAATATCTTTATAAATGAAACTATTTGGAACCTACACTATTGATAAATCTTAGTTTAACAATGTTCGTGAAGTTGGCAGCCTAGCAACAGCCTGAAGTTGGCAGCCTAGCAGCCTGGCAGCCTAGCAGCCTTAAGAAAACTAAGAATAGTACAAACATGAAAACAGTCGGAAATACTAGCACTTCTTTAGATCATTCCACGCCTTTTTTCAATATCGTGATTTTTATTTTTTAAGATGTTGAACTTTATCTTAACATAATTTTTTTCATTCTGACGCTTCGAAATGTGTGAAGAGGATAGTACAAACATGAAAACCGTCGAAAATGAATTGGTAGCACATATTAGACCATTGCACGTCTTATTTCAGTAAAGCGATCTTTATTTTTTTTTAATATTGAACTTTTTTTTGACACTTCGAAATTTGTGAAGTTAACAGCCTAGCAGCCTGGCAGCCTAGCAGCCTAGTAACCTAAAGAAAACTTAGGTTAATACAAACATGAAAACCTTCCGGAATGAATCGGTAGCACATACTTAGACCATTCCACGGTAGCACATCGCGATAATGAAATAAGACGTCGATGTTCTAAGTATATGTGCTACCGATTCATTTCCAACGGTTTTCATGTTTGTATTATCCTAAGTTTTCTTTAGGTTGCTAGGCTGTTAGGCTGCCAGACTGCTAAGCTGCTAGGCTGCCAGGCTGTTAGGCAGCACAAATTTCGAAGTGTAAAAAAAAAAACAATGTTCAATATTTTAAAAAATAAAGATCGCGATACTGAAATAAGACGTGGAATGGTCTATAATATTGTGCTACAGATTCTTTTCCGACTGTTTTCATGTTTGTATTATCCTTAGTTTTCTTTAGGCTGCTAGGCTACCAGGCTGCTAGGCTGCCAACTTCAGGCTGCTAGGCTGCCAACTTCACGAACATGTTTGAACATCATATTTATAATTTAAAACCATAAACAAATTGTGTTACAGGATCTTTAAGTATGAACATTTATGTGATGAAAAATAATATTTTTGTTCTAGAACAATTTATTGTCAGCATATAAAGATAATTATGCAATAATACATCTTGTACCGACAACCTTTGGAGGTCGAGTCGGGAGTGCAACTGACACAGTGTGGCGCCGTTAAATGTCGCAACGCCGCTAAATGCCGCACTTGCCGACACGCATACGAGAAGCAAATTTGATAAAAGCGTAAACTGTTTGTGTGAACTTCACTCTGCAAATTTAAATCTATTTTAACTTTTGTGACCATGCCCCATTGATCAAAAGGAAGAATACCATGAAAGTTATCTACTTTCATATCTATATACATTTGTCAATAAATAAAGGCTGTAAAAGTGTAGAAATCTATTTTTAGAACTGGCGACCTTGACCCAACTGAACCCTTACTCCATCCAAAGGAGAGGACTTCAATTTTATGTTCCTACAAATATAAAAGTCATCTCTCAAAAGAATAATGTTAATGCACCTGTAAAAATGTGAAAATCTATTTTTGGCATTGGTGATTTGGCCTTGACCCACAGGACCCCTAACTAAACCCAAAGGAAGAGGACCTCCCTTGGCATGTTTGTATTAAACATGAAATACATTAAGTAATAGAAAGAGTATCGAAACACGAGGCTATATGAGTGTACGAGGGGGCGTAGCCCCGAGTATAAATCAGATTGCCGAGTGTTTTGATGTTCTTTCTCTTTTGTATCATAGTCAAACATAAAAACACGTTCCCTAATACCACAGATTGAAACCCCACAAAAATAACCAATGAACGAGCATCTGAATATGATATTTTCATCGCTATCCCTTTCTCTGTCGTCACAATGTGTAAACCACGGACAAAATGAATCAATCAATGGGCATGCTCTGGAGTACGGGTAACTATAATACCTGAACTCCAGTTAACGCACTGTGCATGTTTATGTATACGATTTAGCTCTGACACATTTTCAACAGCAAGGTCCCCAAACTATGATACAACTTAACAATCAAGGCTTAATGAGCAAAAATGTTATAAAAATTTTCACACCAGTGACCTTGACACTAGAGACCCCTTACTCCACAAAAAATACACGTCCATTAAAGGTATTAGGTTAACCATACAAGGTCCTATTTTCAAAGTGAAAAAAAGGAATATAACTTGGGAAAATGAATGTCAGAGTTATATAAGTTGGCAATATCATGAACTTTCTCTAAATAAGTAAGTGTGGAAATTATGAAGCCATAAGTATAGACAGTACAAAAAAATCCATCTTGCCGGTTTAGGTTCACGATATTCATTATCAAACTGCTGAAAATGGCAATAATTTGATAAAGATTTATGCAATAATTATGTAACTTGCCAGGATCAAGTATATTGTATTGATTAATAAATGTGTAAATTATGAAGCCATTTGTACGAGTAGATTTTAGGAAAAATCCAACATGCCATTTTATTATTTTGATCGTTCCATTTTTTATAACATGACACCAATTTTAGGCTGCCAGGCTCCTAGACTGCCAGCTTTAGGCTATTAGACTGCAAAGTTCAGTGCCCTTAAGGTAAAGGCGGTTTTCCATAATCATGCATTTGTATGTGCTTTTGCAAGACCTTTCATAGTGATTTTGCTGTATTTACTAATCACTTACTTTAAGCTACTAGACTGCCGACTTTAGACTGTTTGATTGCCAACTTCAGGTTGCAAAGCTGACATCGATAGGCTGTTAAGATGTTAGGCGGCCTCCTCATGATACTCAAGGGGCAGGACGTGAAGTGGTTGCACACTTGGTTCAAGCGAGCGAATTGGTTGCAAACTTGACAAAATGGCGAAACGGCGTGATTTTTTGAAACGGGTGAACGAGTTTTTGCCAGGCAAGTGGGTTTCTTTGTTATTTTGAAGTTCATTAGTATGTCTATTCCATAATGCAATATACATGCCACACTCGGTTAAAGGTTTCAGCATCCTAGATTCTGTTTTGACGAAGTTATTGAAGATATAAACTGATCATGTAGATTTTTTGAAATTTGACATATGACTGTTCTGGCCGGTTTTTCTCCTAATTTATTCAAATTTGGAAGTTTTAAACTGCATTTAACAATAACAAAATATGTTTCTGTCAATGCTGTACAAACGGTTTAATTCGCAAGTCCGAAGATAACGTTCAATACACAAAAATATCTTGTTCAAGCACATTTTGGTTGCAGACTTATACTTCAAGCATTTTCGGTTGCAAACTTTTGTGTCAATAATGTGTCATGCATATTTTTAGCGAGGGATAACTTATCATTTTTTAAATAATTAGCAATATTATGGCAATTATGCCGGTTCATCTAATAAGATATATATATACAAATTGTGCATGCGTGCAGATATATCCTAACACAGGGTCTTTCAAATAGAGATCATATAAACACAATACAATGTATGCTAAATTAAAGTTCAGTTGTGTTTATCTTCATCATTTTTTCTCCTCGGTATACTCCTTTGTTTTTTTTACAAAGTCTTAGGACTTTTTTTATGTCTTGGCATGACTAACTGTAAAAATAGCAACAAACAGCTTTCATTATTGTTCTTTTTTTTAGATTTGAAATAAATTTGATTATATAGTAGATAAAAAATATATTACCATTGACACAAGGGCATTATTCACATGTTTCTTTAAATTGTTCCTTATTATTTATTGACCGATCGAAAAAATTTCCAAATTCCCTAACTCGAACAATGACTTTAAGTAGTTTTGTCACATAACAGTTAATGTAAATAACCAATCGTATATCATTTATATTATGATCTAATAATCAAAATCATCTTTAAAATACCAATGCACATATGATCTACATCAAATCCGAAATATTGTAAACAAGCATGTTCGTCATTTTAACTTTTGGTTTGTAAAAACATTTTAAGTACATGTCTAAAGCAACTGCTGATCTTTACATACGAAACAAACAAATTAAAAAAAATTATGGTTTTGATAAACTTTGGAAATTTTACCGAGTAACATCGTATGTGTGCACATGTCCTTATGTT